ATGAAGGGTCCGCTTTGTATATCTTTAAGCCAGAGAAACCTGAGGCTGAAGATAAAGGAATGAGCTTTGAAGGAATTCACACACATGCAGATAGGTCAGATTTTTTTTTAATTAATAGGCTTTATTTTTTAGCAGGGAAAGTCAATGGAAAGCACACAAAGTTTCCATATACCCCTTCTTTCCCACCCTATTATTGCTATCTTCTATAATTGTGGTATATTTGTTACAATTGATGAGCCAATATTGATATATTATTATTATCTGAAGTCCATAGTTCACATCAGGGCTCACACTTTGTGTTGTACAGTCCATGGGTTTTGACAAATGTATAATGATTTGTACCCACCATAACAGTCTCACACAGAAGAGTTTCACTGGAGCAAAAATCAGGGAAGGATTTCATGGAAAATGTGAATACAGGTTGGACTTTCAAAAATGGATAAGGGCACCTGGGTGGCTCAGTCGGTTAAGCATCTGACTTTAGCTTAGGTCATGATCTCACAGTTCATGAGTTTGAGCCCCATGTTGGGCTCTGTGCTGACAGCTCACAGCCTGGAGCCTCTTTAGATTCTGTGTCTCCCTCACTCTCTGCCCCTCCCTAGCTCTCTCTCTCTCTCAAAAACAAATAAACATTAAAAAAATTTTTCAAATAAAAAATAAAAGAATGGATAGGATTTGGGGCACCTGGGTGGCTCAGCTGGTTAAGTGTCCAACTTCGGCTCGGGTCATGATCTCATGGTTCATGGGTCTGAGCCCCACATCAGACTCTGCTGACAGCTCAGAGCCTGGGGCCTGCCTCGGATTCTGTATCTCCCTCGCTCTCTGCCCCTTCCCCTCTCACCCTCTGTCTCTCAAAAAATGAATACATGTTAAATAAATAAATAAATAAATAAATAAATAAATAAAGGATAGGTTTTTTAGATGGATCAAGAACCATGAACAAAGCCAAAGAGAAGGAAATGCACAAGGCGTTATTCGAGAGGTAGTGGGTTTCAGTTTGTGTTAAGCACGGGGCTCACACTTGGGAGATAAGAATGAATGCTTATTTGACATACTTATTTGACACCAGGCAATTGCTAAACATTTTACATGGACTAAGTGATCCACAAAACGATTTATAATAGAGATGCACTGTTACCATATTTAATGAAAGGTGTGCAAGTTAAAGCTTCGAAGCATTTTTTTTAACATTTATTCATTTTTGAGAGTGAGAGAGGCAGAGTGTGAGCAGGGGAGGGGCAGACAGAGAGGAAGGCACAGAATCCAAAGCAGGTTCCAGACTCTGAGCTGTCGCACAGAGTCCAATGCGGGGCTCAAACCCACGTGCCATGAGATCGTGACCTGAGCCGAAGTTGGACACTTAACCAACTGAGTCACCTGGGTGCCCCAAAGCTTAGAAGCATTTTTAAAAACTTTTCTGAAGCGACACAGTAGATATCTGGAGCATCTGAAGTACAAACTTAGACTGAATGAGTCCAGAACCCTTTGACTCAGTCACTGCACCATAATGCCTCCCGAACAAAACAGAACAGAGCAGATAAAATGGAAAAGGTAAAATTGGGAACCATTTGAGATGGACTTGGAAGTCAGGCTGAAAAGTTGTTTTCTTTCAGCAATATAATTTTCAAGAAAAGTATATACTAGTATTTCCTTTTGGTAGTTGAAACCATGGGGGAAAAGGATAAGTATAAATCTACAGAATCTTGTCTGCTTTGCAACAGCTTATATAGGCTTAAAAAAAAACCTCTATTTAGGAGAATGACATGATAAAGTCACATTTGGGGATGTTATTTATCCTGAAGATGGTATGTCAAGTAGATTGGGGAGAAAGAAAGCTGAAGGAGAATCAGTTAAAAGTTTACTGAACATCATTCAGGTGGTGAGCCAGAAAGGTTTGGACATGAAACGGTGGTCATAGGAATCAAAATAAAAGGATGGTTATGGCAAAAAAGAATGTCACGAGACTTGACCAGTCTGGGGGATGAGGGAAATGTCCGAAAGAGTTAATGCTGGAACTATTTTCAAAAACACTAAAGGTTAGCGAAGGGGAGCTTGGATCACAGCCATGGTTATGATTCCATCATGATGGAACTGTCCAGCAGAGACCTGGAAATCAAGTCTGGAGTTGAGTGAAAGGGTCAGGTGCAGAGTCACAGATTTGAAAGTCGCCTTTGTAACAGTGAGTAGAGTGAAGGGTGGAGAGAGGGAGGGAAGAGGAAATGACTGGACCATGCACGGAGGAAGGAGGACAATTCAGCAGACGCAGGAGAGTGAGAAGATCATCGCGATGGCAGGGAAGCTGGAGTCCAGGACTCGGTGGGCTTCGACAAGAAGATCGAGACAAGACTGTCAGATGCTACCCCAACGAGAGACCAGAGGCAACACGACCAGGAAAGGGCCTCTGGAGTCCTTTAGTATGACCTGGAAAACATCCAGAAGGGAGAGAACGGAGATGTTGATGGCTTGGGAGCGGTGAGCGGTGTCTGGGGATGCTCGAAGCACAGGAAGAACATGACTTTTCTCTGGCATCGAAGACCCAGGAGGATAGATTTCCTCAAAGCTGTTGTTGAGATGCCAAGGGAATAAGCAGCAGCACCAAAGCTCAAGTGACTTCGAGGAGAGCCATTTCTGAGCAGGTGAGTCAAGAAGAGACACCTGAGGCACGTTAGGCGGTAAGCACTGCAGGGGAGATGGGCCACCTCTGGAGAGAAGGGGTGGGAACGTAGTGGGAGGGAGACTCAGCTGCCACCGTACCGCATATGTTGAGTTTCATACCATGTACAATTACTGCTCATCTGAACTGGGCAAACAGGTGAGACCATCACCCTTCCCCGCGATGCTGCATCCAGCTGGAATCAGGGGCTCTGAAGTTATATATGGGAAAGCAGATCTCTCCCCTGAGCAGAAAATGTGCAGTGGGCTTAGGTTCTGAGAACTGACTCCACTTTGCATTCCCTCACTAGTTGTGGCAAGAAAAATCAATCAGAGGCAAAGACGAGGCTCCTCCTCCACCACCTTCTTCTTTTGTCTTTTAGCCCTTTTTCTCTCCTGTGCGTTTTCTCCCCAGGTATTTGCATCACACGCAGTGGATTCAGTGCTGTATTGAGAACTGGTTTTATTTTTCATTGGAAAGAAATGTTGGTTTTAACATTAGTCCAAGAAGAGCATGATTAGGAAGGCAAATCAGGGGCGCCTGGGTGGCGCAGTCGGTTAAGCGTCCGACTTCAGCCAGGTCACGATCTCGCGGTCCGTGAGTTCGAGCCCCGTGTCAGGCTCTGGGCTGATGGCTCGGAGCCTGGAGCCTGTTTCTGATTCTGTGTCTCCCTCTCTCTCTGCCCCTCCCCCGTTCATGCTCTGTCTCTCTCTGTCCCAAAAAAAAAAAAAGTTGGAAAAAAAAGGAAGGCAAATCAGCTCCGACGAATGATCAAATGGTACATTTCAAAACCAGATGGTAATGATTTAAAGATGATCCACTGGCTTTGGATTACCCATGCTATTGCTCACCTCCATCAGCACTGCTAACCATGAGGTGACTGGGATCCATAAAAGCCTTTAAAGCAAACGCAAAACTCCCATCTATTGCCTAGTTTCACTTTTCCCCCACAGCACTGATTTAGACTGCAATCAATTGTATATGAACTCAAAGCAGAGAATGTTCAAATTAGCACTTGCCAACAAGTAATCAGAATCCCAGAATATTCTGTTTTGAAACTCATTTTCTTCCCTCTACACACACACACACACACACGCACACGCACACGCACACACACATATACATACACGCACTACAAGTGTGGAGAAACCCACATTAATCTGCTTGCTGGGTACTGATGTTAATGATGGAATTACTCTCTCGAAATCCAAATCTATGTGTTAGAGCATCATGAAAGGGAAGCCACTTTGCTTGGTAATGATTGAATGCTGCTCTTTGCTCCTTTAGACATTTCTATTTTGGGTGTCCAGACCCTTTTGAGCTCTAGACGCAAGTCCTTAAAGCAGGAGAAAAGGTCAGTGACAGAGAAGGCAATCTATGCATCGGTTCTGCCAGGAGCTCAGAGCTGGGAACCAAGAGCTAAACTGGAGCCAGCATGTAAGTCATCGGCTCCATTTTCTAATCCCATCATGGCAGCCTCACAAGGCAAGTGAGCTGGCCCTGGTCCTGGGCCAGCTGGGGCCAGAGAAGGAGAAGGCAGAAAGCTGATGCCCAGCTGCCCTTTGCTGTCTTTCCAGGCACCAGGACCAGACTCCAACAAGTCAAGTACATAGCTTGTGGTCAGGCAAAATTTCATGCATTCTGAGTGTGAAAGACAGCCTTTGAGATACAGTTTGTAAGCCAGAAATTCCAGCACTTGAGGGACATTCTGAAGTTTGTGGAAACAAGCAGCCCGTGTGACACAGCCAGCCTGCCTGGACACTTCAGAATGTTTATTCATCCTATACACCAAATTCACTTCTCACTCACCAGATTTGTCTTTTACCTCATGGTTGCCAGAGGAGTTCCTGGTAGCAGGGACCAGCATCTGCCAATTACCTTCAGAAGTGAGCTCAGAAGCCCAGAAGGAGCCTTCCTCTTGCGAATTATGCCTTCTTTGGGCATAATTGGGTTCCTGTGTTTGGACTTGCAGGGCTGGATGTGGGACAATCTGCTTCTTTGGATGACTACACCAACTGGAGAGAAACCAAGTACCCTTCCTGACCCCAGGCAGCAGGATTGGGATATAGGATGTTTTGCACATCCCCGGAGCCCTTTTGGCATAAGAACACTAGAGAGGGAGAATTACTAGAATTAAAGTTTAAGATTCTGACATCCAGACAGGATCTTGCACTCAGAAAGTTCTGGCCCACCATGAAAGTGGCCCACCATGAAAGAGAGCAAGGAAGAAGTATGTCAGAGAGTGCTTTATCTCTCTCCCCAAGAAGCCTGCAAAGCATCACAATGCTTATCTCTTCTAGGTGGACCTGGGACACTAAGAGTTCCAGATTCCAAGATGGTCCCATGCCTCTGGCCCAGGAGAAAGGAGCTGTGCCAGAAGCCTGGGGTTTGAACATTAACTGTCCTGCTAAAGCCTGCCAGCCATGTGCTCTCCATGCTCCCCAAGGACTATTTTACTCTTTGCAAGGGGAAAGAATTAAAGACTCCCTTTTCCGCAAAAATACCATGGAGGTGTTTAGCACATACTCTTCCCCGGCTATCCGTGCCACTGACGCAGTCCCACCCCCCTGTCAGAGGGTGCCTGGCAAGAGGTCAGCAACAAATGAGCCAGACCAGGATTATCAGGATCCAGATGTAGGTGTGAAGGCCAGGAAAGGCAATCCAGCAGGGCGGGAAGCATCTGGAAGATCCATGCCTCCCTCAAGGCTTCAGGGGATGGAGGTCATCCTGTCTGGTCTCAGACAACAAAGCTCCAGCCATGAGCTCCAAGGACCTGATGCAGAACTGTCAACCACAGCAGCACAAAGAAGAGCAAGACAGGACTTCAGCCGACTGAGAGCAGAGAAATACACCCGGGGGTGGAGAAACGGGAAGGTCCATCCCAGGAGTAAGGTACAGGTTCAGGGCTTGAATGGATCAGTACTAGGAGGCCAGTAATGGGGCCAGGGAATAAAGTCAGCGTGAGAGCAGAAAGAGCTACTTGGTGCTGAGTTGGGTTGGGGAACTCTCGGCATAAGATCAACATTATAACTTAATAGCCAAATACAGCACCAATGGTGAAAATAGGGGTTCATTCTTCTAACATCCAATAATCTGGTTATGCTTGTGGGGAGACAGATAAATGAGACCATTCTCTGCCCACCAAGGAGCTCACAGCAGGGTGGAGAACGACACCTCTGTGAACTGGTAATCATAACAGAGTAGCTGGAGTGTGGGGCACGTCCACAGAGTATGAACATCGGAACTTAAGAGGGAAGTGGAGGGTGGGTAGGCTCTCAAGGTGAGCCAGGACCAGGTCGGCGGGGGGGGGTCCCTATAGTCCATCTCACCCTAGACCTGACCTACAGATGGCAAGGGGCCATTGGGTGGCCATTGGCATCCATTCAGGTCATATGTAACAGAAACCAGCTCTCACTTAAGTAAGAAAACCCACGTTGGGGGCACCTGGGGGGGCTCAGTCGGTTAAGCATCCAACTTCGGCTCAGGTCACGATCTCACAGTTCATCAGTTCGAGCCCTGCGTTGGGCTCTATGCTGACAGCTCGGAGCCTGGAGCCTGCTTCAGATTACGAGTCTCCCTCTCTCTCTGCCCCACTTGAGCTCTGTCTCTCTATCTCTCTCTTTCTCTCTCTCTCTTTCTCTCATTCTCAAAGATATATAAACATTAAAAAAAAATTTTTTTTTCAAAGAAAGAAAACCCATGTGGAAGGATAAAGGTGGCTCACTTACCTGAAGCCCAACCAGGAATCTAGGAGACAGATTCAATCCAGGGCATCTCTGGGACTCCAGAGATTTAGGGAGCTACCAACAGGACAAATCAGCCCCACCCCCACTCCACTGGCAAGTCACAGTCCCAGGGAGAAAGTCCACTGCCAACCTGTGGCCACATGCCCGCCCCTTGGTTGGTGGTCCCACTAAACACCAGGTGCTGTGAGTGGTACTTTCCCCCAAAGACGATCAGGGTTCTAGAGTCAAAAGGAGGGGACTGACTCTTGGGTGGCCAAAAATTAATTGAGAGCATGCCTTAAGTGTTTAGGCTGCAGAGTGACATAAACACATGTACGGTTTAGAGCAGAGGGTCAGCACACGTTCTCTGGAGAGGGCCAGAGAGTAAATATTTTCCGCCTTGTGGGCCATATGGTCTCTGTTGCATCTACTCAATGCTGCTGCTATAGCACAAGAGACGGACAGTATATATACGAATGGGCGTGGCTGGGTTCCAGTAAAGCTGTATTTATAAAAAGAAGCAGTGGGCCAGACTGGGTGCTCTCTGTGTATGATTCATGCCACACTGGGGTAGAAGCGGGGTACAGGAGGGGAGAGAAAGGAAGCAAAGAGAACAAATACAAAACCATTCTCTCCATGAAAATATGCCCTGTGGGTTTTCTAGCAGAGAGCAGCCTCTTGGGGAAAATTCCCTGTTTCTCTCTCTTTGGGATAAAACTGCCCCTCGGTAAAGAGTCCCTTTATACATTTTATTTTCATGAACATTAAGTTCGGTTTCCTCTTGCATGTAACTTGTTTCTTAATTGTTTGTTCCTGTAGGGGGTTCTATTTGTTTGCTATCTTTCGTAGGCTTTTCAATTCCCGCAAAGGCAGCAGCAACCTTCCTCAGCAGGATGCCAGCAGCGTATTGACTGCCCCCCCCCACCCTTCTTATTCTACGGAACTGTGGGTTTCCCAGTGTGGGACACCTGTATTTATTCGAGGCCAATCTCAAAAACACAACACAACCACATCCACACTTTCCGGGTTGCCATCTTGCTCACGGCTGGCAAGCCCGAGAATCTTCCTCCGAATCGCATCTCAGCCATTCCGGCTCAGCCAAAGAGAAGGCACTGGGGACTTGGAGACAGCGTGTAGCGTCACGGCAAGGCAAAAACCTAGCCCCTCTTTTGTAATCACCTCTTCGGTATGAGGCAATATGCTGTGAATTAGTGTGTTCCAGGCCTGGAGTGGTAACATATGGTGTATCTCTGCTCATTCTACATTAAATCCTGACATTTTGCAGCTGTCAAGATAAAGCTGTTTATATGAGTAACATTGTAGTTTGTTTATAGGGAAATAATGTGTAGCAAGTTATGATTAATCAAGGTGTCTAAAATCTGCTGGAGGCTTCTAAATAGATTTGTTTTCACTGCCGTGCTTTCTGTCTCCTAAATCAGGAGGTTAGTGGCCCTCCGCCCCCTTGGTACCCCATGGACATTTTGGCCCTGTCCCCTGTGGGGCAGGTGGAGACGGAGGCCGGGCCTTCCTGTAGAGGCAGGAAGAGCGGGGGTGTTGCATGGAGTGAGGAGGCGGGGGGTACTCACCTTAACTTCCAAACTTCAGGAAGCCCCTCAAAGAGACTCTGTATCTTCATTCTTGTGTTTAGACTCCACGTCTCCAATTGGATTGTCCCCTGAAGAGCAGCCAGTAGGTGACTGAGTCTCGAAGGAAATAGTGCACCTAGCTTTGGTTTTCTGGGGTCCCAGAGGTCATGGGCCTGGAGGCAGTGCAGATTTGAGGAGTCTCACCTTCTAGAGGTTATTTCAACTCCTCGTGTCTGTGGTTGGGGGTTCCAATTTCCCCTTTGGAGGATAATTGGTTAGAACCCAAAGCTCCTGAAAGAGTCTAATGTGTCGCCTTGCTGAGCTGCTGTCCCAAGGCAAGAATCTTTCAACCTCGCTGACAGCCGGTGTCAGGCCACCAAGTGATCTGTCTCAGCAGAAGGAATGAAGCCACCTGTACCACTGTGGGGAGGGTCAAACGCTGGGAGGAAACTGCCTTCTGACCCTGAGCTGTATCTGCCCTGTCTTGCCCTGGGGAACAACTTGGGGCTGGCTAGCCACTTTTCCAAATGAAAAACTTTCTGATCTTGTCAACAGCCACCATCTCGTCCACAGGCCAAACTTCACGGTCCCCGAGCACTTCTTGTAGTGCCTAGCCCCCCTCCGTCCTGGCCACGCTCCCCCAGCGCTTGCCGGCTGGTCGTGATGCACCTGGAAATGTCTGCTCCAGGATGGACCCATCTCAGTGTCCAAGGTGGCTGGAAGCCTCAAGTGAGCTCTCTTGCCCTTTGTCCTCCTTTCCGAGGCCATGCAGTAGTCCCTGCCCCACTGCTGGCCAGGTGGAGAGGTGGGCAGTGAGCCCCCACCAAAAGGGCACAAAGAAATCCAGGACCCTGTGGAGGTGGCTTCATCCACGGATTGGAAGATGCACAAGCAGAGACGCGTTCCCCCGGCAACGCCTGTAGTGCAGCGGCAGGGACCAGCTGCCTTTTGGCCACAGAGACAGAGCCAGCAGTAGTGGCAAGAAGAGAAAGCAAGTTGCCGTAGCATCATGGGCCTGCACCCCATGCCTTCCTGGGCACGCGGAAGGCAGCTGGCAGGAAGGCAGGCAGGAGGAGAGGCAAAGGATTTGCTGCCTGAGAGAGCAGGGCGATTCCACAGCTGTGGATGGGACTTTGAGTCATCACCCAACCCGTTTTCAGCAGACAGCCTGCCCTCCCCCAAACCACTTGTACCTTGGATGTGCTTCTAGAAGTGTCCACGGTGAAGGCTCACAGAAAACAGCAGATGGCTCAAGCTGGAGTCTTAGAAGATGCCCCGGTTCAGGATGGAGGGGAGGAAATGAAGCCATTGGTGGAGCCTGGGCAGGACCGGGCCCAGGGGCAGAAGGAGAACTGTTTTGAGGTGTTGAGGAGTAGTCAGCCCAGAGATGTAAGTTAACTGACCTGGCCAGGGTGGAGCGGTTGAACTCGCCTTGGGAGATACTGAGTTCAGCATCACGGAACCCTCCCTCCTGGGGTTAGGAGAGTCCCCTCAACAGTTCAGAGGTTATTTCTTCTCCTTAACTGGACATCTCAGAGACCCTCTTCAGTGTCGCCATGCGGCAGAGAGAGAGAGTCACTGAGGACCCCATTTGATGGGTGAGAGAACACAGGGAAGACCAAGGAAAGGGCAGAGGGCACGGAGACAGGGACGAATGGTGCAGGAAGAAAGGATTACAGCAGAAGGTGGTGCCTTCTGAACGCGACCAGAACAGACAAAGAACTGAATCCAACCAGGAACGTTGGACCCTCGGTCCACCCCCGCCACCCCCCACGCCCCCTTTTCCTGTAGGGACAGCAGAGTGAGTGAGCCTCTTGTCAGAAATGAATATCGCACGGGACAGTTAATCAAAGCTGAACTGCCCCCTGCCCCTGTGAGTGAGCAGTGCTCCGAGGGGAGTGGGCAACCCGGCAGATGGAGGGGAGGAAGTGCCACATCCACCTGCAAGGGGGGGGGGGGGTGGCGCTGTAGGGGAAGCACAAAGCCTATTTCTTCCCATAAAAAATGATATGAGGTGAAAAACCGTTTACTGCACATTAGGATCCACGGTTGGGCCATTTGTATGTTTTACTGGGATGGTTATGTCACTAAACGAAGCCTGAAAAATCCATCATGGGCAGGGAGCCTGACAGTGGCCTGGTCATGGGAGGGGAGTTGGGGGATGGGGGGGGGGGGCTGGGCAGAAGAGGAGAAATGGGAAGGGATAGATACTGGTGTCTGGGGGGACTCGGGTCCATGCACTGTCCCAAATCACTGGGGTTCACGTCGGAGGGCCCGGTGAAGCCCCCACCAACTCTGTAGTTACTATTCTTCCTAAACAGGAAGCCCAGAGGTTCCCTCTACCCCAGTCCCTCTCGGCTGTTTCTGGGGATGCACTCATGTGCCACTTCCAATTCAATGAGTGACTTTTAATTAAATTCCTATGTGCTAGGCGGGGGACCCTGTCACCCGCGTCACCCATCAGGACCCTTCCCTTCCATCCTTTGAGCCATGACCAAATCACCACACTTGTGGTTAGAGAAAGAAGTGACTGAGAAGGCCCTCGCAAGTTGGGGAGCAGATATCCCGGGAGCGGAACTCG